CAGGGAAGGGGCTCAGAGGTCCAGGTTTGCCCTCTATTCTCAGGGGAATTTCAGGGGAGTCTCAAGGACAGGACAGAGAAAAAGCAGTGAGAGGGACGGAGAGGAAGGATGCTGCTCACCTTCTGCATGCTGAGTGTTATCTGGCCGCCCTGGAAGCCTGAGGAGCTCCCAGAAACATAGTACCCAGAGTTGAGCTGCAGAAAAAAGAAAGTGGATGAACACGAAGCACAGGAACTAGGGCCTAGGTTCCCAGCCCCCACTCTATCTGCCTCAGCACCCAGCTTACCTGCTCCAAGGCCTCTGCCAGGTGCTTATTGAGCTTTTGCTCTCGTTTGCGCAGCTTCTCAATATCCCACTGCAGGTCCTCCACCGTTGTCTCCATCTCCAGCACCTTGGTTTCGGCTGATGTCACTTTATCCTGGAACTCAGAGTACTGGGGACGATGGAAGGAAAGATGTTTCCTGAGAGCCTTAGGAAGAACCCTGCCCTGGTTCTAATTCCACTCACAAAAGCTCAACTCCCACCTCCAGTGAGATTCGGTGATGCTTCTCTTGCAGCTGAGTGGCCAAGTCCTGCAGCCGCCGGTTCTCTCGGCCCAGCTCTCGGGTGCGTGCCCGAGCCACCTCACTGGGAGGCTCTCCATCCCCTGGGAAGGTAAGGCCAGATAAGACACAAGCCCCGGGCAAGAGGGTAATGTACCAACTCTCTGGAGTTTGCTATGTGCACCGTGTGATCTATGAGCTGTCTTGCCTATATGTCATACCAGTGTAACAAGTTTTTGTTTTGGTTTTGATTTTTTGAGACAGGATCTTGCTACATATATAGTTCAGGCTGGCCTTGAACTCCTATATCGCTCAGACTGGCTTGGAACTTGTGGCAATCCTCCTGCCTCAGCGTCCTGAGTGCTGGGATCACAGGTATGTGCTACAATACCTAGGTAAAATAAGTTTTGTGGGTTTTTTTTTTTTTATTAAGTTTTTATTCCCAATACACAAAGGAGGAAATCAGTTCAGATAAGACGGCTTTTTGTCTCAAAAGGCCAGACCAGGGAGGAAGAACCACAGATGGGAGAAAGCGGTCAGCAAGCAAAGCCTGTGCCACTGAAGTTTGCACAGCACTAGAGAGGCTGTGGTGGATTGCTGTGAGTTTGAGGCTAGCTGGGGCTACACAATGAGTTCAAGGCCAGCCTGGAGTGAGACCCTGTCTTGATGAAAGGAAGGAAGGGAGGGAGGGAGGGAAGAAAGAAGGAAAGAAGAAAGAAGGAAGGAAGGAAGAGAAGGAGGGGAGAAGGAAGGAAGGGAAAGAAAAGAAGGAAGGAAGGAAGGAAGGAAGGAAGGAAGGAAGGAAGGAAGGAATGAATGAATGAATAGAAGTTAGTTTGCACAAAGTGCTCCAGAGGCTGGTTGTCGTGGTGTACGTCTCTAATCCCAGCACTGGAGAGGCTGAGACAGGAGGACTGCTGCAAGTTTGAGGACAGCTGGGTTACAAAGAGAGTTCAGCCTGAACTATACAGCGAGACCCTGTCTCAAAAAAACAAAAACAAAAGTGCTCCAGAGGCGTGTCCAGCCAGATGAAGGTGATGACCCTACCAGCATCACCTACTCTTCCACTCATCTCTCTAGAGCTCTACTCCAGGAATCCAAGCTGGAATCCTCCATCCACAGAGTAACCTTTTCCCCCAAGAACAGGCTGATTTGTTTCTTGGGGGAATTCTGGGCTCAGGGCATTAGCACAATAGGGGGGCATAAAGATGCAGCGCCACACACATCAAGAGCAGGGCTACAAAGCACTAACCTCGGCTGTATACTCGCTGACAGAGTTCCTCTACCCGGCGCTGTAGGCAGTCTGAGGCCTCTACCAACCGGGACACGGCTGCCTTGGAGAATTCCATCCGGCCCTGGAGCTGCAGCTCCACTTCCTCGCTGCTGCTGGCACCCAGTGCCACCACAAAAGCCAAAGCTGGTTCACTGAGAGGGGGCCTCAACTGCATTGGTACAGGTTCTGCGAGCGACAGACAGACCCTTATGAAAGAAACAGTAGAGCCTACCAATCTGGACCGAGTTCCAGAGTGAGCCCTTCAACAGTCCAGGGCTCGCTCACCACAATCCGTGGTACGCTAATATTCTCCTCTTCATACAAAGACAACCGAAGTTTAGGGAGGTAAAGTCACTTCCTCAAGGCTACAGAGCTGCGAAATCACTTCAAGGAAGCTTCCTCTACCTTCCCAGTTTAACCAGAACCCACAACACACACACACTCACATTTAATTCCTGGCAGGGGCCCTAACACTTTTTACTTATGGTTTAGAATAATTTCCTCCCTCATGACAAGAATATTTCTTTCTACTTGTCTTTGATTTCTTCAAGTCTAGAAAAGTATTAAGTCAATACTCAGGTTTTTTTTTTGTTTGTTTGTTTTTCTCCGGTACCGGGAACCGAACTCACGACCTTGCGCTTGCCAGGCAGGCACTTTTGCCGCTGAGCTAAATCCCCAGCCCAGTATTTTTTTTTTTCTTTTGAGTTACTGGAGAGTAAACCCTGGGCTTCTCTACTAAGCTACATCCTGGTCCTTTTTATGTTTGTTTTGTTTTTTAAGTCAGAATCTTGGTAAGTCGCTGGGCATGGTGGTCCACACTTGTAATCCCAGCACTCAGGAGGCTGAGGCAGGAGGATCGTTGTGAGTTCGAGACCAGCCTGGGCTACAAAATGAGCTCAAGGCCAGCCTGAACTGCACAGTGAGACCCTGACCCAACAAAGAAAAAACATAACGAAATAAAGAAGAATCTTGCTAAATTGCCAATGCTGGCCTTAAAACTGCTTACCTTACCCTCCCACAGAGCTGGAATTACAAGCACATGCCACCAAGCTCAGCCAAGAATACTTTTTGAACTAAAAGGGTAACGATATGAATACAATTATGAATCAAATTAAGATTCTAAGACTTCTGTTCTCGCCCACTGCCTTAACTGCCCACACATGAAATCAATTTTTCAGGGGTAGAGGATGGGATAAGGATTTTAGGAGCACCAAATCAGAAGTCCATTCTTCCCTAGGACCTTTCCTAAAACTTAAAATTCCCGGGGGCTGGGGATTTAGCTCAGCAGCAAAGCGCCTGCCTGGCAAGCGCAAGGTCGTGAGTTCGGTTCCCGGTACTGGAGAAAAACCAAAAACCAAAATAAAAAACTTAAAATTCCCCAGGCTCCGGCCCTACCCCTCAGCTCTGATGTCCCTGGTTCCGTGAGAGGGTTCAAGTCACGTGTTGGCCCTTCCTGGGTCCCAGGTGCCTCTGTCCCTGCAGAGAGGTCCCGCTGGCTCTCATGGCATCGGAGGAGGGTTTCCACAGTTTCATCCAGCTGAAGGGGAAAAGCACCAAAAATGTTATGAATTCCTCGTGCTTTCCAGAATAATTCTCCTCCCAGCAGGGCAATCTGAGAATTGGCAACTGAATCAAGGTCAGGTCTTTGAAAGCAGAGGGCGTCAACCTGGGCCCAGTAGCGATTGACAATGAGGAGAGTGGCGTCATCTGTGGCCTGTCGCTTCTCCAACTTTTCAATTCGTTCTCGGAGTTCATCTTCACAAGCTTGTCGCTGTTCCAATCGCTCCGCTAGTTTCTTGTTCTTGAACTGCAGGACCTTCAAATCCATCTCCTCCTACCAAAAAAAACAAAAGAGATCAAGTATGTATGAGACCAGGTTACAGATCAGCCATACATCACCTGCCTGTCAAGCTCAAGGTCCTGAGTTTCATTTCTGATACCCAGAAAAAAAAAAAAAAAGTATGTGTGTTAAGTAGGTCTCAGAAACTACAACACAGTAGGAAAACAAGCAAAATGAGTAGGAAAGGAATGCTCCTAACTGCCTGCCAACAAGATTTAAAAAGGCTCAACCACCACAGAAAAAGCATCTTGGTTTTGAGGGGGCTCAAGTTTTGCTTCTGCCTCTGCCCTTTTTATTTATTTTCTTTTGGTTTTTTGACTCAAAGTCTTTATTTATTTATTTACTTACTTTTTGTCTTTTTGAGGCAGGGTCTCGCTATGCAGTTCAGGCTGGCCTGGACCTCACTTTGCAGCCCAGGCTGGTCTTGAACTCACAACGATCCTCCTGCCTCAGCCTCCTGAGTGCTGGGATTACAGGTATGCGCCACCACGCCAGGCTAACATCTTAATTTAGTTCAGGCTGGCCCTGAGTTCACTATATAGCTAACCCAGGCTGGCCTCAAATTCGCAAGGACCCTCCTGTAGGCATGCACCACCATGACTGGCTTCCGTCCCTTTCTAAGCCTGACACATCAGGACTCCTGTGGGAAGCTGTTTTTCTATCTGTAAAGGGAAGGCAGATGTCCTGTTCTCGGTTTCCTTCAATAGAACGTGCTATAAAGTGCACTTCGTTAACCCTGGAAACTTGCAGTAAGCTTCTGGGCAATTTGGGCAGAGACCAGTGACAGGAGTCTAGCCAAGTTCCCAGGACCAGGGCAAAAGCCCACGAACCGTGGAAGAAATGCCTCCAAGACGAATGGGCTCGATAAGAGTGGTTGTGGTCTTCTCCTCGCGGTTCAGCTTCTTCTCTGGGGGCCCGGAGCCCCCATCGCCCGCGGCGCGTTTGTTGCCCGGCCCAGACATAGCTGCGGGCAGCGCGGAGCGGCGCAGGATCCCCCGAGGGGCTTCAGGCGAGAGGAAGCAACACTTCCGTTATCTGCAGAAGACAGAACAGAGATGCAGAAGCGGCCAGCCCTCCACAGCCCCGAAACCCTCTCCTATATACACGCAGTGGATCCCGCCCTTACAGCCCGGAGGCCCTCACCGAAACTAGGGTCAACCTAGAGCCTCCATCTTGGATTCCACCGGACGTCACCGGCCTCCTCTGCACAGGGCGCATGCGTCAGAGGCTGCGCCGGATGTGGCGAGAAGTCATTTCCTGTGCTTATTGGTGGCGCTTCGCCCCGCCTCCCGGAGCGTTTGGCTACTTCCTGAACACCTCCTCTTGCACTCGGTGATTGGCCAGTAGATGGTTCCCATGGTAACTAACACCGCGCTCCTACTTGGCCAGCGGGGAGAACAATGCCAGCCCCGCCAGCAGCACCTTGGAAGGTGGTACCCAGGTGGGACGTTGCAATTTACTACGCATGCGCATTCGCTCATCACTGACTAAAGCTTGTACTTGAACTTTCCACCTTTCTCTTTTGCAGGCGCCCCCGAGCAACGGTCACCATGGAGACAGTGGGAGACCGCCCCTCCCCCCCCGGATTGGCTGCGCCAGCCTAGCAGCGGCGTAGATTGGCTGGAGAGTCGCTTCAGGGCCAGGCCTTGGGAACCGCGGCCCGAGAACTGGTTGTCCCAGAACCCAGGTGTGAGGGCTTGTGGTACGAGAAGGGCGAGATGATCAGCCAAAAACCAAGCCAATCCCTGGAAGTCAAGGTGCAGCCCAAGCTTGAACAGCTCTCCGAAACAGAGGGGAAACTGGAGAAGTTTTTTGACTCCTTGGTTGGCTCGGCCATGAAGAAGGGAAAAGGTGTGCGGACCGAGTTGGCTATAGCGGCCTCGGCCCCGGTGGAAGCAGATGAAGATCCTGAAGTTAACTTGTTTCCGGTGAGAGCGAGACGGGGTTGTCCCCTCGGGAATCTTGTAAGATTTTCCTGGCAGGGCACCGCCCTTCGTTACCTTTCCTTCCCGGGCTGCCTGCCCACCAAGGCAGAAACGGGGCGTGTGTGACCCTTGTTGTTAATATGCTCGAAAGTAGTACTTTGGGCCTGCTGCGGCATTGCTCCACGTAGCCCTAGAAACAAGGCAGAGCGTAGCGCGTTCTCAACGCCCCGGTCCCCGAGGAGGTACACGATGGACCAGGGACTCGGGGCCGGGTACAGCACAGCCCTTCCTTACCCACTCCGCGCTCTCTCCACAGCCGCCACTGCCCCAGCCCCGGATCTGCATGTGGTGAGTGTGAAGAGCCCTGAGAAAGTTACACTTCACACTTGCATTATTCCTCTAGCGTCTCCTCCACAGTCCTGTCCAACAGCCAGGGCATCCCCATTTTACAGATGAGATTGAGACTCAGAAATGCAGTTTATTCAGCGTGGCTAGAAGCCAGCTTTCCAGGCTCCCCAGTCCAAAGAGGCAGTATGAAGAGAGCCAAGGACTGGGGATATAAACGGAAATGAAATGTCATAGCTGCCACGGAGCATGGTACAAATATGGATACTGAAGCCCACGTGGGGCTCACCAAAGCCATACACCGAAGTAGTGGCACAGCAAAGACAAGAACTTGTTTCCTCATTGTAGGCTTTATAAATGGGGAGTATCATGAGTGTAGGCTGTGTACCTCACTTACAGATGGAAAAAGTGAGGTCCACAGAGCTAAGTGACTTGCCAAGGGTTACACAGCAAGCTGGCCGTGGTGGTACACTCCTGTAATCCCAGCACTTGGGAGGCTGAGGCAGGAGGATCGTTGCGAGTCTGAGACCAGCCTGGGCTGCAAAATGAGCTCAAAGCCAGCCTGAACTGCATAGTGAGACCCTATCTCAAAAAGAGAAAACAAAACGAAGGTTACATAGCAAGTTAGTGAGAGAGCCAAGGCTCAAACACAGCTCTCTGGATTCCTGGTCTGATGCTCTAGTGATCACAGCCATGAGATGAGACCAATATGTGCCAGCCACCAATACCTCGTCTCTCCTTCTCCTACAGGAAATACCTGGACATCCATTCCATGCACCGGCTGGAGAAGACAGCCAGTGTGGAGGAGATGAGAGAGTATGGGGCCAGTGGGGTGGGGGAGGGAAGACACGAGAAATGGCTGGCTCTAAAGCAGGTAGTGAGTGCAGGGCGATGAGGGAAGGCTCTCCTTGCCGCTCACTCCTTCCTCTCCCTCCCGAGGGTGTTGGCTGAGCTGCTGGAGATTGGCTGGCCTGAGCAGAGCTTGCGGGACGCCATCACCCTGGACCTCTTCTCCCATGCCCTCATCTTCTGCCACCAACAGGGCTTCTCCCTGGAGCAGACATCAGCAGCTTGTGCTCTGCTCCAGGACCTTCACAAGGCCTGTGTTGGTGAGAGGGAAGCAGCTACCGGAAAGGTGGAGCCCCAAGGGTGGGAGGGGGTCGGGCTGGCACAAGTGACCACGGGCAGCAGAAGCAGGGGCCTTACTGCGTGGGATCTTCGTTCTCTATTAGCTGTAGTGCTGCATGCCTGCTATAGCCTTTGAAATCCTCTTTACCACAGCAGTAATTTTATGGGACTGTTTAGAGATGATAGATGTATAGTGTTCGATGACATAGCTTCTGCATTCCCTGTTTTTATTCCCAAACTGATTTTCTTCAGAATGTTTAATAGCTGAGATTACATATTCTTTTACTGTATTCCTCTTCCGCTAGAATATAAGCTCCCTGAGGACGGGTCCTGTCCGTCTTCTTCAGTGCCTACAACGGTACATAGTTGAACAGTGTAGTAGAATGAATTATACAAACAAGTGAGGATTAAACGTAGATCTGTCCACTTGTGAAGCTCACGTTCCCTGAGAAGTGAGGGGAGGGGATGGGTAGCAGGGAGGGACTCACTGCTGCGCCTTGCTCCCTCTGCCAGCAACCCCCTTGGGCAACGTGGAAGAATGCTACCGCCACTTTATCACTGCTCTTTTCTGCCACGGAATCAGGGTCAGTACCCTGGAGTGGATTTCTCACCCTCCTCTAGACAAGGTCTAACCCTGTCTCCTTCCCCCCCATCAACCTCACTTTCCTCTGAAAGCTGCAGTGGGCTCTCCCTGCTCCTAGACAGCTGGGCTCTGACAGGAAGGGCTGGAGCCTCGGGGGGCCAGGAGCACTAACTCAAGTCCTCACCACAGCGGCCTCCCTTCAGCGTTGACCTCTTTAAGGAAGAACAGCTGCTGGCCCTGGCTGACTATGTGGTCAACACCTACTTCCGCCACTTCAAGCTCTACAAATACGTGTTCACGCCACAGGTACTGTGCCGTGGGATACAAGAGGTCACCCCTCAGTACGGGCACCTTCCTCTCAGCCTCCCTCTTCCCTTCCCAGGTGCGGCTGGATCTGTCTTTGACGTACATGGGGCTACAGGCACCCAAGCCCTGGCCAGAGGGTAGGACAGGTATGGGAGAGCAAGGTGCTAGGGCTGACCAGAGCGGGGCTTAGACCTCTTCCTGTTTCTGGTTTGCAGAGAAAGAAGGCCAGGAGGTGGAGGAGCAGACAGCTACCCAGCAGGAGGAAGAACCAGAAACAGGGATCCAGCCAGAGCAAGAGCCAAGTGAGCTCCTGGAGGGGTTCGGGTGCCCTGTGGCTCTGGGCAGTTGTAAAGTGAAGGTTTGGAGCATGTCAGGACTTCAGAATTTTAGTGTTATTATTATTATTATTATTTTGTTTTTTGAGACAGGGTTTCACTATGCAGTTCATGCTAGTCTTGAACTCACTTTGTAGCTAAGGCTGGCCTCAAACTTGCAGCGCTTTTCCTGCATCAGCCTCCTGAAGACTTTCAGTTTTAGTTTAGTTTGTGTCCTCTTTCCAAATGATTCCTTATGCAGAAATCCAAGATAACAAACAGAACATTTTTTTTTGTTTTTTGTTTGTTTTTTTCCAGTACTGGGAATCGAACTCAGGACCTCACGCTTGCCAGGCAGGCACTGTGCCACTGAGCTAAATCCCCAGTCCCTGAAGATAACAAACAGATAAGAGCACATCACCTGGGTGTGGTGGCGCACACCTGTAATCCCAGCACTTGGGAAGCTGAGGCAGGAGGATTGCCACAAGTTCAAGGCCAGTGTGGGCTACATATTGAGTTCAAGACTGCCCTAAACTCCATAGCAAGACCCTGTGTCAAAACACAAAAGTGAAACAAGAAAGAGCAGATCTATTGGGCGGGGGTGTGTGTGTGTGTGTGTGTGTGTGTGTGTGTGTGTGTCCCCCGTCCAGAAGAGGTAGTTCCAAAGACATGAATGACAATAGCCAGCACAGATTTGGCCATGTGCACCAAGAAGCTTTGTTTGAAGCATTTCGTGTACATTAACTCAATCCTCCCCTAATCCTATGTCCTAGGTGTTATTATTACCCACACTTTACACAAGGAACCTGAGGCATGCGAAGGTTAAATAACCTAAGCTCACGTAGTTGCCAAGTGCAGTCAGAGTATGAACCCAGGACGTATAGTGTAGGCACTCCGAACCCAGCTGTCTCTCAAGGGCTGGCTGATTCCTAAACTGAGGCAACACCGCCATCTGTGTGGCCCCCAGGGGCACATACCCCCTGGAGACTGTGTTCCCCCTTCTAGGGACAGTGCCCCACATGGCATCTCTCCTGACCTGCCCCTTCCCTGCCTCTGCAGGCCAGGTCTGTGTCCTCCGAACCTACATCAAGACCCAAGTGAATAAGGAGCTAGGGCAGCTCCAGCAGCTGGTGGAAGAGCAGCTCAAGGCCAGTGAGGAAAGGCTGAGCAGCAAGCTGACTGCCCTGGAGCGGCCTTCCCAGGCCCTTCCCAACAAAGGCAAGAACAAGACTAAGTGATGCCCAGCAGTTTCGCCAATAAAGCCAGAGCCAGAACATGCCATGCCCATCCCCCACCCCGCGCACCACCTGGGCTGAAGCCAGGCAGCAGACACAAGGCACTTGCTACCCCGGGCGTGGAACAGATTTTATTTCAGATCCCGCAGAGGCAGCACTGACGAGGCTGGGCGTGGCCTTTGGAGTGGCTCTCTTCCACCCCGCCTATCATCTCCCAGCCTTGGCTAGCAGGGGTAGGCGTACAGAGTGGGTCTCTATGACAGTAGCATGGCCAGCAGGGCTAGGCAGAGGGCCCGAGGCAAGGGCCCAGAGGGGCTGGAATGGTTCAGACCTCCCACGGAGTCCTGCTTTCTGAGCTTGCTCAGGGCTGAGGTCCTAGCCCAGCACCCGCCCAGCCTCATCCTCAGCGATACTAGCGGAGTCCCCCTCCTCTTCAGCGCCGAGGAGAGGAAAAGGCCCGGGGGGCCGGTGCTGGAAGAGAGCAGCTCGGTTCTGCTGCTCGCCCTTCTTCACCCAGTGCCCATAGAGGCGGAAGGCACAGTTGTCAATGAGGCGCCGCACTGGCCGCAGCGCGTAGGGGTCCCTCAGCAGCGCGCTCTTGGTCATTGGCCGCACACGGCGTGTACTTAAGGCCACTCGTCCAGCAGCCAGCACTGTCCACACTGCCACCTATGGAGGGAGGGCAGTATGAATTCCGGCTTAGGGAAAGGGCTTAGGACAGGGACAGGTGCAGACCCTGCTGCCGCTCTCAGGCTTACCCGGAACCGCTGTTGGGGTGTGAGGTTCCAGAGCTGGCTCCCTTCACAGCGCTCAAAGAAGGGATGCTGTAGGGCCTGCTCAGCTGTCAGGCGTTCTTCGGGATCCACCTGCAGTAGCCTTGAGATCTAGGGAAAATCGCAGAGTATGAGGGGCAGGCCTTGGGGTCTTCCCCACGGTCCTCTGATGGCCCCAGCTCACCAGGTCTTTGACAGTGTCAGAACGGTCATCCCACTCAGGCGAACTGAACTGGTACCGGCCCTCCATGATCATGCGTAACATCAGGATCTGGCGTCGGTGCCAGAACGGGGGTGAGCCAGCCAGGAGTGTGAACAGGATCACCCCACAGGCCCAGCTGGGAAAGAGAATAGAGTCAGGCGGGCCTAGCTAACAGATGTGAAGAGCAATACACACAGGAGAGATGGGGTAGGGGGTGGGGTGGGGGAACAAAAACTCACAGGTCGACCTCTTTGCCATAGCCTGGGTGGGTTTCATCCATGGAACATTTCAGGATCTCTGGTGCTAGATACCCGGGGGTCCCACACAACTCTGGGGAGAGAGGCAGCGATTGAGGGGGTGCCACTAGCCCCCTTCAGGGCCCTGAGCAGCAGATCTCTGCTGGAATCATCTCAACACTGCCTGAGCCACCAGTGTTCCTGTTTTGCTTATACCTGTTTCCTGCTTAGCCTTCGAACTACACAGTATGCCAGGTGTGGTGGCGCATGCCTGTCATCCCAGCACTCGGGAGGCTGAGGCAGGAGGATCACTGTGAGTTTGAGACCAGCCTGGACTACAAAGTGAGCTCAAGGCCAGCCTGAACTGCATAGCAAGACCCTGGCTCAAAAAGCCAAAAAAAAAAGGAGAAGAACTACATAGTATCTCTGCCAAAAAACTCAAATAGCCACCAAGGCTCTCAGTAGCCCTCCTAAGAAAATCTGGTGTGGGGATTGACTTTAAGGTCTTACCCAACCATCTCTTTTGCCTCCTCCATCCCTCCAGCCAAACCAACCCGCCCATCCACTCATAACTTACCACATTTCTAAACACATCATCCAAATGGAAAAGGACATTTAAGTATTTGTATGCTTTTCTGCCAGTACCTAATCTCTACTCTGCTTAGTGGAACCCTTACTCAACTCAAGGGGAACAAGTGGAAATACAGCTTTCTTAAAAGCACATGCTGGGTAAATCCCGTGTGCAAAACACTTTCCAGTTTCCCCATCATGGCATCAAGATCAAGTCTGGAACTCTTGAGGCGCAGAGCCTTCCATGACTGGACTTGATCCAGTCAACACTTCCAGTTTATTCTACCACTTCAGCTCTTCTATTCAGCAAGTTCCAGGTGGCACGCTTTCAGATTTTAACAGGGCTAAGTTGGAAGTTACTTTCTTGGGAAATTCACTCATACATAAAATATTTATGGGATGCTTTGTATGTACCACGCATCCTTTTAGACACAACTGGATATGCGCTTACTAAACTCACTGCCTTCTGGAAAACAAGGAATCGAGGAAGTGTGTCGTGAAAGGAGATGATAACAAAAACAAAAACGGGGCCTGATCTGACCTGGGGGCTTAAGTGAAACTGCAGTTACTCAAGAGGAGGGAGAGGGTGGAACAAGCAGGACCAAAGCTGATTCCAGAAAGAACAAAAGTGTATGTAGGAAGCTGGGTGCAGTGGCACATGCCTGTAATCTCAGCTACTCAAGAGACTGAGGCAGGAGAGTCACAAGTTCAAGGCCAGTCTGGGGAACTTAGCAAGACATTGATTGTTCAAACTTAAAAAAAAAAAAAAAAAAAAATCAAAAAGATACAGAGATACAGCTTGATAGTAGAGAGCTTACCTGGCATGTATGAGTCCTGGATTCAACCATCAATACCCCTCTACCACCCCCCCTCAAAAAAAAGTGTTTTTGCTCAAAGGGAATTAAAGCACAGCATTCATAAAATGTGAAGTCCACAAGTTACAGGGTAAGCTCAAGTCAGACTGCTGAAGTTCAAATCCTGGCCAAATCATCTCTGTAAGTGCATCTATTAAAAAGAGACGCAAATACTATCTGTCCTAAGGGTTGAAATGATTCAGAGAAATCAGCCATGTAAAAGCTTTGTGTGCCTACTTCATGGTTAAATCCCCAGTAAGTTACTTATTAATAAATCCAGGGCAATTTGAGTGTACTGGCACACACCTGTAATTCCAGCACTCTGGGAGACTGAGGCAGGAGGATTGCAAGTTCAAGCCCAGCCTGAGGAACTTAGGGAAACCCTGTCTCAAAAAATAAAATGAGATGTACCTTGGTACAAAGGCCCTGGGGTCAATCTCCAGTACTGCAAAATAACAAGAACAATAACACTTGTAGTAAAATAAACCCAGTGCAAAGCCATTGAGGCATATTAATAGCATATTAAAAGCTCCGAGAGGGCTGGGGATGTAGTTCAGCGGTAAAGCACTTGCCCAGCACATGCAAGGCCCTGGGTTCAATCCCTAGTACTGCAAAAGAAAAAAGACAAAACAAAACAAAAAACTCTCAGGATCCTCACAGCTGAATTTAGTTTTATGTCTCCCCTTTGCACTAGAAATACTTCTTGTTGCCAGGTGTGGTGGCACACACCTGTAATCCCCGCACTCGGAAGGCTGAGGCAGGAGGATCACTGCTTTAGTTCGAGGCCGGTCTCGGTTACTCAGTGAGCTCACATCAGCCTGAACTACATAGCAAGACCAAAAAACAAAACAAATACTTCTTGTCATGACAAATGTATTAACACTTGGGTGAGCCCCAGACCTGGGGCCCAAGGTAAGAAGTTACATCAGGGTGTCTGGACACAGCAGGCTTCCTCCAGCACACTGTGGTCCTGTGTCATCCAGACCCCCAAACACTGGGGAACCCTCACTCCCTCGTTCCTTCTGAGACAGCCTAGCCCAGAGGGCCCCCTTCTATGAGCCCCTCAGACTAAATCTGTGCTGCTTCCACCTGGCTTCCACGGCGTGACCCTTCGCCTGTCTGCTTTCTCATCTGCCTCCACCCCCAGTCAGGAAGATCATTCTGAGTTGCATAAAAGGCTTTGCGCCCTGAAGGTGCCTGGCAAGTGGTCACTGACTTCCCTTGCTGGGTACCCAAGACTCAGTGTGGAGACCCGGCCAACCAACTGTAGGCTGGGGTCTCCTTCCCTCCCAAGCCTTTCAGGGAATCAGGTTCCCTCACCTCGAAGCTTCTCTCCAGGTTCCAAGTGGCAGGAGAACCCGAAATCTGAGAGTCGGATCTGCATATTGTCATCTAGGAGAATATTCTCAGGCTTCAGGTCTCGGTGTACAATGTTGTTGGCATGGAGAAAGCTCACTGCTTCCAGCAGAGACCTCATGATGGACCTAGAGGAGGTGCAGTCTCCTACTCTGCTTCTCTTTGCCCACCCGCTCCCTGTTCATCCCAGGGCTACAGGCTCTGCCGTTACCTGGTTTCCTTCTCTGAGAGGGCCACCTTCTCCGTGAGATAGTCAAACAGTTCTCCCTTCCGCATCCTAAGGGACAGCAGGGGCATAGGAGGCAGATGCACCCCACTGTGGGGGCTCAGAAAGTGAGCCAGGGCTCACATAACATATCATAGAAGAGGCCAGCCATGAGATTCCTCTGGGGACAAGCCAAAGGGTCAGAGCACCGCAAGAGTCTATTAGATGCCAGGGTGGTTGGTCCCAGGGGGCTAGCGCTTGACATGTCTTCATTGTGCCATGATGGGGCTCTTTTACCAAGAGTAAGTGACTTCTTGTGATTTAATTTACAAGAGGTCCTTGTTATGAGAATAATTAAACCTGAAAAATTCCTCTTACAATGAATGTTTAGAACATGGGCCAGATTTCAGTTAACAGTGGCAAAAACGCTGAAGAGGATTTATTTTGAAATTTTGCTTACTTTATCCTATCTTTATTTTTTGTTTTGTTTTTGTTTTTGAGTCAGGGTCTCGCTATGCAGTTCAGGCTGGCCTTGAGCTCACTTTGTAGCCCAGGCTGGGCTCAAACTCACAACGATCCTCCTGCCTCAGCCTCCCGAGTACCAGGATTACAGGCGTGTGCCACTATGCCCGGCTCTTATGCTATCTTTAAAACTGAGGTTGTAATTACAACTCTGCCAATCCCCCAGTAGTCACTGTCCTGCACAGTTGTCTGATGGTGTAACCGACGCTCCCTATTCCCTTGGGCACCAAGGGCCATTTTTATAAATATACGAAAAGCTTCATGGGTCTATTTCAAGGGTCTCTCTTACTCTTTCATATTTAAATCACTCTCTTATGAAATACTTTTGCAATTGGTCTGATTATATAACATCTGATATTCAGATTCAGACAAACCAGAAAAAGAACCAAAGGGCAGAGACAGACAGTACAAAAGACTGGGGAATGAGGACATATTTTATAAGTGGTCGGTTCATTGTCAAACTGTCTCCTCTTAAGAGAGCTTCTCCCCCGCCCCCCGATTCACTTTATAAACACTATAAGTCCTAGGGGACTAGGGTCATGAGAACTCTTGATTTGGTCACGGTCACTCAACCGTGCCAGAGAGAGAGAAGACCAGAGCTGTGGGCGAGCAGAGGCAACAGAGGGCCCAGGCTGGAGCACGGGAAGGCATGAGCAGGGTGTTCTCCAGGCCACTGTGGTACAAGGCAGGGCAACACACGGAGGTGGAGACAAGGCTTCTCCAAGAGGGGAGGGCGATACTCACAGGTCAAACACCAGGAACATGAAGCTAGAAGACTCGTAGGAATCGATGAGAGTGACTGGGGAAAGAGACAGAAAGGCAGAGATAGAGATGGAAAGTAATGGCTTTGCCACCCCAAGGCAGCATGGGCTATTCCTGGGAAGGAAGGAGAACCGACGGAGGCAGCAGGGACCCAAAGACCGGCCACTCTCTGAGCTGGAACAGAGCCAGGAGGCAGGGAGGAGGGGGCTGTGGGCAGGGCCAGCAGGCGGTGGGGTCATCAGCTAACAGGAACAGAGAATGCAGCCTCACTGATGTGGGGGTGGCCGGCGACCTGGCGAAGGATGTGAGTCTCTCGCCGCGTGGCTTCCCGCACCTCCTCCAGTTGCTCAGGACTCAGCCGCTCAGCGGTCACCTCCATGATCTTCACGGCAAACTCGTCGCCAGTGGCTCGATGCACGCAACGGCGGACCACAGAGCTCACTCCTCTGCCAAAGCCAGACAACAGCACGAGTCAGGGCTTCCTGTCCTCTCATTTTCACACAAATTGGAGCCTCAGCATCTCCATGCCTGCTACGCCAAACTCTGAAGACACACGTGGATAAGACAACTGCCACAGGAGCTCACCCCAGCTACAGTGGATTCATGGTGGCCCCTGGAACCGGGGTACCCGGCGAGGTACATCATAGAGCCCATGGGAAGGCAGGCAGGGGGCCTGATTTGAATCTTCTAACACTGCAAGGTTAAACCTAGCCAAGTCCTGCCCACAAGGAGCCCTAGAAATAAGCCCTTTACAGGAAAGGGGAAGAAGTAAGTCTCTCTCCCTCCATATCTCACTGATACTTCCCCCACTGCTCCACGAAATCCCAAACATGGAGCCACTGGGTGGGAGGCCAGCGTTGAGAATTTGCATCTTACTTTAGGGCCTATTATTTGCCACCAGTTAACCTCCACCTAACTCAAAGCACAGGACTCAAGACGTAAGGTTTCTGGGCTTTGGTTTGTGGAATTCTGAGTTTTGTTTTTGAGACAGGATTTCAGGATGTAGTTCGAACTGGCCATGAACTCACTATGTAGCCCCAGGCTGGCTTTAAACTCATGGCGACTCCTGCCTGAGTCAGTGCTGGGATTACAGGGGTATGCCACCACACACAGTTATTTTTTGCAGTTCTGAAAGGTGGCCAACCAATACCCTGAAGGGATGTTGAAAGACATTAACCACGCAGAGACTGGAAAGCCCACTTGGCTTAGGAACTTCCTTGCTTGGGCTCTGTCACCAAGTCCATCTGACCCTGCAACTACCTCAGGCTCAGATGCAAATACCTACAGGATCTCACCTCAAACCACATTTCTTAGGCTGGTGCCTGGGTTCCCTCTCACCTGGCCTTACTGCTCTGTTTTCTTAGCAGCTCTTGGCCTCACCCAGGTAACTCCTTTGTTAGAAATTATCTTCCATATTTCCAGTTAGGGGCTGGGGATATAGCTCAGAGGCACAGTGCCTGCCTGGCAAGTGCAAGGTCCTCAGTTCGATTCCCGGTAACAACAACAACAACAACAACAAAAACACACCAAAAACCAGTATCTCCAGTTAAATCAAGGAATGTGATCTACTGCTCCTCAGGCCAAATACAGCCCATGGCATGTAATGTTCTGACCATATCTCAAGTGGGACAAGAACTCTGCTGCTGCCAGTAACTCATCACTTTTCACTGTCTTACCTTTGGACAAGTTTATCTTTTCCTTTTTTTTTTT